AGTCTGGATCATACTGGAGTGCCCAAAAGAAAATGCTTTTGGAGGGTTGGAGGGGAATGGTGCATCAAGAGAGCAAGGAGTCCATGTGAAAGAGCTCCCAATGGCCACGGCTGGAATAACTTGAGCAACAAAATAACAATAGTAATAGATTATAATCCAAAGAATGAAATAAATATCCATGAGTCTATGCTAATACAAATAAATGCTATAAATATAACATTAAGTATAATAACATAATATAAATAATTCCTTACAAAAAGAATAAGGAAATAGGAAATCACCACTAGAACACCACAGTAATTATTGGAAATTATTAGCATATAGCTAATAATTATTTTAGCATATACAGATGCTAAAAATCAGTGAGAGAAAGTTTAAGCAGGAATAAAATATTAATTACTAGCAGACAGCCACCTTAACCAAGTGATCAAGGTCAACATCACCAATAAGACACATTGACATCATGTATCCCCTGATGTATACCCTGATATAATCCTTCCTAATAATATATAACCTCAACCTAATCAGGGGAAACAAACAAACAAAGTCAGACAAACCCATACTGATATTCTAAAAAATAACTGAGCAGTATTCTTCAAAAATGTCAAGGTCACAAAAGACAGGAAAAGACTGATGAACTGTTGGCAGACTGGTAGAGACTTAAGGAGATAAGACAACTAAATGCAAAGTGGGATCCTAGATTTGATCCTGTAACAGAAAATGAACATCAGTGAAAAATTTGGTGAAATCCAAATAAAGTCTGTAGTTTAGGTTAATAACATTTCAATGATATTGATTTCTTACTTTTGATAATTACTCTATAGTTACACAGGATGTTCACATAAGGGAACCTGGGTGAGGGGTATAAGACGACTAATATTTTTGCAACTCTTCTGTAAGTCTAAACTGATCTCAAAAGGAAGAGGTTAAAGACAGAGAGAACACCTTAAATACTGCAATGCACGCTCATGTGTATTGACTACAACTTATTGTGAAAAGCATTAAAAAGTGATGGAAAGATTAGAGGGATGGATAAATATGTGATAAAGAGAATATCAGAATACATCTGAAACCTGTATAATTTTGTTAACTGTCACCCCAATAAATTCAATAAAAAAACTTTTTAAAAGGAGAGAATATAGGAAAATGCTGTAGAATCTAGATAGTGAGATGCAAATATTCACTATACAATTTCTTTCCATTTTTCCGTATGCTTAAAAACTTTCATAATAATATATCGAAAAAACAGGAGCCTAGTTACTTTGGTTTATCAAAACAAATATCAAGCAGCACAGAAAAGATAGGGAAGATGGGGGTGGAGGGGCT